TCGTAGTCGGAAGCAAACGGTGGATACGTTTAGAGGGAAGACAAGTGGATTCCTAAAAGCGAGCAAACCGAAGTGTTCGTTATTAATCCAGGAACCAATTTCCTCAACCACAATCAAGAAGAAGGAGTTAGAGTTATAAGGTAATATTTGATATTACTTGTAATTTCTAATATTACTTGTAACAAATCAAAATTTGGGTTATTACATGTTTTTAAAGATGACGATTTGTAAATTAGCCATATGTATATACGGGTTAAGTATTTAAGTGTTAAATACTTGTTTTGAAAAATTTTAAATTCCGCTGTGTATAGCCCGTACGGTACAGGCGAACCCAACAGTTTGGGGGGAAGGCGCCTCCTCGATCATGGATGGGAGGATGCAGTCGAGAAGCTAAGAAAAATGAACGAATGAATGAAATGATGAGAAAGTCAAGATATAGTTCGGATAGAAAGAATGAACATAAGAAAAGAAAACTTACCCGAGGGATGAGTCGAGCAGTGTAGCAGGCCTGATGATAAGTGTTACTATCGACCCGTGCCCTGTCGTCCTCAGGGAGAGTCGAATGGAGACACTGGAGAATTTGAAGGGGGACGGGGTTATCGTAAAGCTGAGAAGGCTGCTCCAGGGTCACGGACTGCACCTTCACAGGGGACGACTGCCCCGCGTTCTTCTCGACCGCCGACTCCTTCCCTTTTTAGCGTTTCAAGGAACTGGGCACCAGGGTCATGTCTCTTTGATCGTGAGCCCTTTTGCAGTATTGAAAGCCCAACGGTTGACTCGGCTTAGCAGCAGAGGGAAGCACCACCTTCGACTTTTTGGCGGCAGTGCTCTCGACTATCCCTGTCTTGGAACCAGAACCTGAGCCGCCTTCATGTCTCTTCGGAGCAGGGGGAGCAACGGACTTGTCAGCCACCTGGCCTTTCTTCTTCTCGAAGCGGGCTAAGGCTTTCACTATCGACATAAAAAGAAATAATCAATAAGGATAATCATGCACACACACCAAATAGAAACAGATAAATGTTCAGACGAGTGTAGAAAGTTGAGATATAAACCAAAATAACAGAGAGCTTACAAGGATCACTAATTCGAGGAACACTCTTGTCGACACAAATCCCAACATGGTTGAGGAGGGAGCTATGCTTAGTTAGTCGATGAGCACTCCATACGTTCTTATTCAACTCTTCTAGCATGCCCGCAAACTGCGAAGAGTGAGGAAGCTTACGTTGCTTCACCTTGCTTGTAAGCCACTCATTGGTGAAAGGATATTGGCTAGGAGCAGGTCGAATAAAGAAATGTTTCTTCTTCCAATCGGTAATATTGGAAAAAATATCGTCAAGGAAAGACACCCCCACATGATGACCTAGACAATAAGCGTCTTTGCTAAACCTATACCCGTAACAGTAAAGAAAAAACTAGGGCACAAAACTACCTAGGACTATTCGGGAGACGACTATGAAAGACACCATTATTCGGATAGAGTTGGGAGTGAAGTGGTTTATGGGTACATCATACAGATTGCTCAATGACAACAGCTCATGTTAAATCGAGAAGCACAATCCCGACATTATTTGATCAACAAAAAAGGTGAAACAGCCACGGGGAGGGTGTTTGAAGTCGTCACTAATTGTAGGAGCGACCAATTCCCAGTCAGAAGGAAAACCATTATACTCCCTGACGCCATCGATTTCGGCTGCAGGGGCATAACAAAAGGGATTAAGAACAACTAACTTTGCTACAGAACGGGCTAAATTTACAGGCTCAACTGAAGGAGCTATTATTAGTGAATGTACAGGACTTGTTCTATACACAGGGATGTCTAAAAGCCTAAGAAGAATACCTGAGAGATTAAGTTAAGTCGAGGAGACCTTGGAGCACGAGAAGTTTCAGGGTCCTCATTTAAAATGCCAGACAGCAGTGTCTGATTATACGCATCCTAGTCGATTTAGAAGGACGAGGCAGTGGAATGAGCAGAATTCTCTGGCTCGACATTTTGGCCAGCACTGGGTCCGACAGCGATTAGTTGTACAGATTCAGAACTCGAATAGTCATCGATTTCATGGGCAAGAGATCCAGAAACGGGGTCGGAGTCGGAATCTAAAAAAAAGATAGAGAGAAAGCGACAGTCAGCAGGTGAGGACAATCATAGTCATGACTCGGCTCTAGAAGAAATAAAACAATGAAGAAGCAGGGTAAGCATACGAGCCACCCCTAATTCGATTCGACTCGACAGAAAAACGAAAGAGGGAAGGAAGATCTCCGATAATCGGGATGCAAGGATGTCTAGTCAACACTAGTCAACTCATATGAAGGGAGAAGAGTTGATTTCTCATGTTAAATCGACTGACGGGCGAAAACACTTAGGAAAGCGAGAAATCCACGATTGAAGATCTAACGAAGAAAAATCACAAGAAATTATTTAAAGAACACCAAATACACATGAAAAACCCTTATGAACTTTGGACGCAGAGCCCAGAAAGATAGAACATTTGCATAAACAAAAAGCAAACAAACATTTCATAGTAAATGTAGAGTAAAGGAAACTTACACATGATGGCTTGATTGAAGAAGTCCTGAAAATCCGAGAAGATGGTCGGAAAGTAACAAGCGCCGATGAGTTTATAGTACTGTAATTGCTGGAAGAAGAGTAAGGAAGAGTTCGAGAATTTTTACGGCAAAAAGTGGGAGAAGAGGAAGGAGGAAGATACTTATAGGGGAAGTAGCAAAACCCTAGCCCTCAGATTAATGGTAGATTCAACTGTCATGATGAATCACGAAATACGAAGTGGCAGAGAGAGAAAACGTCTTATCAGATCTTGAATTTTTTTGAATTTTGAAATCTGAAAAAAAAAAATTAGACTTATCCAACCAATATGGGAATTTACATAAGTAGAAGCGATGGGACTGTTCATAAGTCGAGATACAGAAGGATGTGACTGGAACCAAGGAAATCGACTAGGAGGAAGATGCCTTAAAAAAAAGAGGAGGACATGATCTAGGACAACGACGAATAGAAAAGTTCAACTTGTGAAAAGACTCAAGCAAGCTACTCAGTCGTCAAATTTACTCTTAAGCTTAGAATCGCTTCGATTAATTTTTGGGGGGACTAGATGATATATCCATATCGCAGCATAGCGGTTCAAACACTAACTACCTAATCGAATGATAGGCATGAGAGTCGACTCTGGTGAATCGACATCGTGGAATTGACTTCCGTAAATTCGATTCTTCCCTCGAGCTTCCTGAGAACTGTCTTCAGCTTAACAGGTTACAGGCACTTCTCTCAATCGACCTCCAGAATTCGACTTCCCTCAGAAAGATGGAGAGGCGCAACATGATTTACAGATGTTCAACAATGACCAAAGTCGACTCGACGATACCTGAAGTCAACTTATGACGCCTCGAGGCACCAAGACCTCCGACAACTCCTATATGGTTCAACATGTCATAGCAGAACTGCCAAGGCCAAAAAGGAATCTAGATGATGAATAGGAGGTGGACGGAATGCGAACCGACCAAGGCATTTTGGACATTTCGCATAAGTCGGCCAGGGCATTTTGGGGACTTCAGGTAAATGTTTTTCCTCTATATAAAGGAGCTGAAGTAACTCCCAAACCCTAACTCTCATTCTCTCCATTCATTTCTCAGCTGCTGCTCCCACTGAGTAGAGCTCATCTTCATCACTCTCATACTGACTTGAGCGTCGGAGGCTCTTCACCGGAAACGTCTCCGGTGTTGAGTTCTTGCAGGTGTTCACTGCAACTCGAAGGTAATTTAATAGCAATTCGAACAGATCGGAGCCCATTTCCACCGGTTCACTCCAGATCTAGGAGAAGACTTATCAAATGGGATTGTATGTTGTGATTATGACCACTCGCTTTCGTCGTGCCGCGCCAGCTCAAGTATGAGTTCATAAGTGATATTGAATTGCTCATGTGATTTATATGATATTATGTGATGTAACTGGGGCTTAGGAAATTATCCTCCTGCTTTTAAACATTCCTGAACTCTAGACGAGTGATGAACTTTGGTCGTATGAACTGGAACTCTAGTTGTATAGAGTTAAGTTCTTTATTTAGAAGTTATTGGTTGAGAATTTTGAGATAATGGTAGAATTTTCTCTGTTTTAAATCGTTTGTTTCATTGGTTGGATTTGAAAATGTAATATCCCGTCAGATTAAGAATATAAATCATAATTTAGTTCCGATATAATAATATTTTCAAGTATTATTTTCGGAATTAATTATTTCCGTCGAGATTATCCGAAATTATTTTCGACGTCCCGTTTACGTTTGGAATAATTTCAGTAATTAATTATCACGTTGAGTAATTAATTAAACATATAGATTATGCTTAATTAATTCTTAATCATGCTTAAGAGATTTAATTGCCGTGAGCAATTGGAATTATGGATCAAATTTTTCCAATTTTTATTTTCCAAATTGCCGTAGCTTTCTTCAAGCATAGGAAATAATTTTCCTCTTCTTCAAGTACCTATATGTGGCATCATTAGAGAGATCATGTGGTGATTAATCACCTTAAGCATTGTTATCTTGTAGCAAGTGTCAATTATGGGTTAGGCCACCAAGGCCATGCGTCACCCATCTCCTTAGTGTCGTGCCTATATATAGGTGAGAAGTTGGGGAAAATTTTGACATCCTTCAGCATATATATATCAAGTATTACTGCATATAAGTATGGAGAGTTAGAGAGAATTGAGAGTGTTCTCCCAAGCTTAGCAACTACCGCAAGAAGGCTTAACCGTACCGCACGCCGAAAGCTTAACACCGCATGAAGGCTCCGATTGTTCCAAGCAATTAGAGCAATCAGTTGAGGATTTAAGAAGGAAACTTCGGATTACCAGAGATTATTTAGTCATGTTAGCTCCGATTGATTGAATCATGTTCATGAACGGCATCAAGCCGTTTGGCCGTGCGTGTGGCTATAGCGAGTAGGTTCATATTTTGGTGTGAAATCTCTCGAGCAACTATGTGTATTTAGTGTTGGGTTCTGTTAGGAACGTCAAACAACACGCACAGTATTGAACTTTATCGAAATAAATCCTAACGCAGCGGAATCTATAGTTAGGATATGGACGTTTACCTTTTAAAATTTTTGCCGACTCTGAGACGATGTAGAGTACCGTTGATGAAGTTTGTCTGAACACCACAACCTAATGGGCAGATAGGTTTGGCCTTTAGTCGATTCTAATCGACACGTCAAACGGATCACGGTTGAATGGCACACGGGTCTCGACGTCGGGTGCAGCGGGTGTGCTCGTCGGGCGCGGACAGCGAGCAGGTGCGGGCGTCGTGCAATTCGCAGACGATGTGCGCGGGCACTGGCAGCGTGCACTGGTCGCTGGCGTGATGCGCGGATCGCAGGCAGGCGCGTCGGGCACTGGACGTACGGGCGGGTTGCAGGGATCTGCGGACGGGCGCTGGTGTGCGTGTCGCGGACGTGCGCTAGGATCCCTAGGCCTTCGCGGACTAGGCGCTGGCGTCTGGGGTCACGCGGGCGTGTGCTGTGGCTCTCCTGGGCGTGCAAGGAATAGCAGGCGCGTTGCGGACGGGCGCTGGGTTCTCGCGGGCAGGACGGATATATATATATATATATAAAGGCTCGAATAACTATACCCAAAAGCCTTCTAACAGATTACCTAAACACCTATTCCGATTAAACTTGGTGGAGCGTTTAATCAGATCTCCCTAACTCTCGAACGATGTAATTCTCACGTGTATGTAGATGAAAAAAATCGGCCAAGACAACATTGTAGGAGAGGTTTGGACATGGTGTATTTATAGGCTCCATTAGGGACCTTAAAGATGTGCTAATTATGGGCTTATTCCATTAGGCCTAGGACTCCTAATTCCAATCCAATACTAACTCAATCTAGGAAGGAGATCTCCTACTAATCCATCTCTTCTAGAAGACTCCTAAGTCTCCTAACACTAGAGAAGATCCTTGTAGGAATTTCCTTTCCTAATTAAATTAATAATCATGGAATAGAATTAAATCCTAATTTAGGAAACCTAATTTTACTCCAATTAATAATATAATGTAGGAAATATATTTTCCACTAATCTTCGTCTTCTAGAAGACTCCCAAGTCTCCTAATCCCAAGAGAAGATTCTAGTAGGAATTTTATTCTCCTAATTAATTAATTAATATGGAATAAAATTAATTCCTATTTAATGGAATTAAATAATAAAACATCCCACTAGAATAATATTATTGCTCTCCCCATTTAGTCACTATTTTACCAATAAAATCGAGCCTCCATGATTAAATGATATTAATCTGATTGATCGATTTACCTCCCTATGTTTAAGATATAACGTCCGTTGATTAATTAAATTACTGACAAAGTAATTAATAAACTTCTTATTCATTTCCGAAATTAGTACCACTCAGCCTTTAACCATTATGTCAGACAATCGTCTACCTGACGGGTTTAACATAAGGTTCCTTTATGAGCTTATTTCGGGGATGTCATCAATCCAGCGCACTGGAACATAGTGACTAAATAATCTATAATAGCACATCATATAATTATTCTTACTTACCAAAATACCTCGTATGTCATCCTAACAGAATAGGAATCACTTGGTAAATCAAATAAATAAGAAATAAAAATATATGCCTATTTTATATTATATAACAGCTTAAGAGAACGCATCAATCACTGAAGGTCTAGGTTACGACAACGGTCAGTGAGTCTCATATCCTTATCCTTCCGTGGTCCTGTTCAACACTTAACATAAGTGCTAGTGTAATCCTTCAGTCAAAGACCAACTGAATCGAGAATACACTACAGTCTTTTTCCAAGTGGGGTCTCACTGCCAGTCTAGACTATGAACAAATAGTTTAGTCTTATAAGGAACCGATAGGTGATCTTTCTGTTCGAAACTCTTCAAACCACACTACCTCAATATAAGACATGGAGTATGTATTGCATAAATAAATAAATTGCAAACATATGTACTTTAACCGAAAATGATTGCCAGATCAAAATGGAATTGATAGAATCTGCAAAACATAGCTTTTACGGCATACCTCTAACCATCTCCCACTTATGCTTTATAAGCTCATGGCTAAACAAAATAACCACAATTTCTTTCAATCTAATTCTCAAAGACTAGTCTTCTATGTTGCCCTAACATCTGACTCCCATTCCTTCTACGTGTCTCATAAAGACTTTCGCCGGTAGGCTCTTCGTAAAAGGATCTGCTAGGTTGTCCTCTGATTGTATTTTGGCAACAACGACTTCTCCTCGTCCAACGATTTCTCGTATCAGGTGGTACTTGCGCTCTATGTGTTTACTCGCTTTCTGAGTCCGTAGTTCCTTCGAATTTGCTACTGCTCCGCTGTTATCACAGAACACTGTGATTGCAGCGGGCAAACTCGGCACCACGTGAAGGTCGAGGAGAAAATTCCTGAGCCAGACTGCTTCTTTCGCTGCCTCTAAGGCTGCTACATACTCAGCCTCCATGGTTGAGTCCGCCACGCATTTCTGCATGACACTCCTCCGTACTATGGCTCCTCCTCCTAAAGTAAACACAAACCCTGAGGTTGACTTGCTTTCGTCCCGGTCTGCCTGAAAGTCAGAATTGGTGTAACCCAACGGAAGCAACTCATCTGCCTGGTAAACCAACATGTACTCCTTAGTCCTACGAAGGTACTTGAGTATATGCTTTACCGCATACCAATGTTCCGGTCCTGGATTACTCTAATATCTTGCTACCATGCCCACGACATAACAAATATCAAGTCGCGTGCACAACATAGCGTACATGAGGCTTCCTACTGCCGATGCATAAGGAACTGCCTTCATGTCCTCTATCTCTTGAGGCGTCTTCGGGGACATCCTCTTAGATAGAGGTATTCCATGTCGAAAGGGAAAATCCCCTTTCTTGGAATCCTGCATGTTGAAACGCTTTAGGACAGTGTCTATGTATGTGGATTGGGATAGGCACAACTTTCTCTTCTCTCGGTCGCGAATAACCTTAATTCCGAGAACATGTCCTACTTCACCCAAATCCTTCATATCAAACTGCTTGGATAACCATACCTTTACGTCTGACAACATCTTCACACTGTTTCCAATGAGAAGAATATCATCCACGTACAACACTAGAAACACCACCATGTTTCCATCACTTTTCTTGTACACACAGTGCTCATCCGGACATTGGGTAAATCGATACGATTGGACAACCGCGTCAAAACGGATGTTCCAAGACCTCGAAGCCTGCTTTAGCCCATAAATGGACCTCTTCAGCTTGCAGACCAGATGCTCTTGGCCCTTTGCAATGAATCCTTCTGGTTGATGCATATAGATGTCCTCATCCAAATTCCCGTTAAGGAAAGCGGTCTTAACATCCATTTTCCAAATCTCATAATCCATATGAGCGGCCACAGCCAAGAGAATCCTGATGGATTTGAGCATGGCTACCGGCGAAAAGGTTTCCTCATAATCGATCCCTTCTTTCTGAGTGTACCCTTTCGCAACAAGCCTAGCTTTGAAGGTCTCAACCTTCCCATCTGATCCTCTCTTTTCTCTTATAGACCCACTTGCATCCAATGGCGCGAACGTCACTGGGTGGCTCTACAAGATCCCAGACCTGATTAGTGTTCATTGACTCTAATTCAGATTTCATCACCTTTTGCCAAGACTCTGTGTCCCGATCTTGGAGTGCCTCATTGTATATCCATGGGTCAGATTCAAGAACGTCCGGGACGGCCTCAGAAGACTCTCCCAGGCCCATGAACCGTTTGGGTTGCCGGACAATCCTCCCACTACGATGAGGTACTACCTGCTAGGTGCATCATCAGCGATACGTGTTGCAGTACTTTGTGGTGTAACATCTAGCGCACTCGGTATTGAAGTACTCACTCCATTTATTTCCTCAAGAACATGTCTACTACTGGGCTTATGATCTAAGACATATTTTTCTTCCAAGAACCTAGCATTCGTGCTAACGATTACTTTCTGGTCCTCGGGACTTTAAAATAGACCACCTTTCGTTTCCTTAGGATATCCCACAAACAGCCTTACTTCTGATCTCGATTCCAACTTATCAGTATCGGTTCTCAGCACATATGCTGGACTACCCCAAATCTTGAGATGTCTTAGACTAGGCTTATGCCCAGACCACAACTCCAATGGTGTAGACGGTACTGATTTAGAAGGTACTCTATTCAGAATGTATACCGCTGTTTCTAGGGCATAACCCCAAAATGAATCTGGTAATGTACTATAACTCATCATTGCCCTAACCATTTCCATAAGAGTCTTGTTCCTCCGTTCTGCTACGCCATTCTGCTGAGGCGTGCCAGGCGCATTCAGCTGGGACGTAATCCCATTATCCGTCAAGTAGCTCCTAAATTCATTTGAGAGATATTCGCCACCACGATCCGATCGTAATGACTTGATACTTTTTCCTAACTGCTTCTCCACAACTGCCTTATACTCCAAGAATTTCTCAAAGCATTCAGACTTGCGGTGCAGAAGGAAAATGTACCCATATCTCGAGTAATCATCGATAAACGTGACGAAGTACTCAAAACCACCTCTCGCTTGAATACTCATAGGACCACATAGATCGGAATGAACTAACCCTAACACATCTTCGGCTCTATGCCCCTTTGAACTAAAAGCCCTCTTAGTCATTTTACCTTCCAGGCAAGACTCACAAGTTGGAAAAGCCTCGACTTCTAACGACCCCAAGGGCCCGTCTGCTACCAACCTTTGAATCCTCCTAAGGTTAATATGACCAAGTCTTAGATGCCAAAGATATGTTTCGTTTATTTTAGAATGTTTCTTTCTCTTATTCGGATTAGATGATGAATTAAGTAATTGTTTCTGTTGCAGTGGAGATGACATAGATTCTAGAATGTACAGATTGTCAACTAATGAACCAGAGCATATGAACTTTTTGCCAAAACGAATAACAACTTTATTATCAAACGTAGCGGAAAAACCGTTCATAAACAACTTAGAAACTGAAATCAAATTCTTTCTAAAACTGGGAACATAAAGACAATCTTTCAAAACTAGAAACCTATCTAAGCCAAAATCTAAATAGACGTCTCCCACTGCAACTGCTGACGCTCTACTAGCATCGCCCAAGTAGATGGTAACCTCTCCTTCCCTAAGTCGCTTCGTTTCCTGGAACCCCTGCAATGAATTGCAAACATGATCAGTGGCCCCCGTATCTACACACCAGGTACTGGTAGATAACACCGCTAAACATGTTTCAACGATTAAAGCATAAGGAGTACCTTTTTCGGGTTTCTTGGGAAGAGGGAAGTTTGCCTTCCAGTGTCCTTTCTGCTTACAGTTGTAGCACTTGCCTTTCGGCTTTCTTGCCTTTTGTCGAGGTTGCGCGTCACTCATGACCGCTTTACCCTTTCCTGCGGACTTGTTCCTCTTTTTGCCCTTAGGAGCCTTAGAAGTGGAAGCTTCTCCCCGCTGGGCCACCATGGCTTGGGTTTTCTGACGAAACAGGCCCTCTGCCGCCTGAAGCTCAGCAACAAGTTCCGGAAGAGTCATCAACATCTTGTTCATGTTATAATTCAA